TTCTACTCTTCTTCTATGTAGTAGATGTTTTTAGATTCTACATACATGAGATCATGCATTATTTTTCTTTCTGTGTCTGGCTTATTATACTTAAAATAATGTCCTCCAGGTTCATCTATGTTATTTCAAATGGCTGGATCTCATTTTTTTAAGACTGAATGATATTTCATTGTATGTCTGCACCACAATTTCTTTATCCATTCATGTGATGATGGACCCTTAGGTGGTTTCCTTATCTTGGCTATTGTGAACAATGCTGCAATGAGTGTGCAAGTGCAGATACTCTTCAAGGTACGGATTTCATTTCTTTTGGGTGTATACCCAGAAGATGGATTGCTGGATCATATTGTAGTTCTATTTTTATTTTTCATTTTTTTTTAATAGAGATGGGGTCTTGCTCTTCCTCAGGCTGGTCTCGAACTCCTGACCTCAAGAGATCCTCCCGCCTCAGCCCCCCAGAGTGCTAGGATACAAGCATGAGCCACCGCACCCAGCCCATATTGCAGTTCTATTTTTAATTTTTTGAGGTGCCTCCATGTTGTTTTTCATAATGGCTATGCTAATTTATATTCCCACCAGCAGCATACAAGGGTTCCCTTTTCTCCACTTCCTTGCCTACACTTATCTTTTATCTGTTTGAGAGTAGCCTTCCTAACAAGTGTGAGGTGATATCTCATTGTGACTTTGATTTGCATTTTCCTGATGATTAGTGATGTTGAGCATCTTTTCATGTATCTGTTGGCCATTTGTATGTCTTTGGGAAACTGTCTATTCAGGCCTTTTGCCCATTTTTTAATCAGGTTTTTTTTTTGATATTGAGTTGTGTGAGTTACTTATATATTGCGACTATTTGTGTATGTGTGGTAAAACATACATGACATAAAATCTCCCATTTTAACCACTTTTAAGTATACAGTTCAGTGGCACTCAGTACCGTTCACCTTGTTATGTGGCCATCACCATTATCTATCTCCAGAACTTTTTCTTCACCCCACACTGAAACTCTGTACCCATTAAATAGTAACTCCCTATTTCTTTCTCCCCTCGTGCTCCGATAACCACTATTTTCTATCTTTATGAATTTGACTATTCTAGGTGCCCCTTATAAATGGAATCATATAATATTTAATATTTGTTTACATTTAGATTGTTTTCAGTTAGTGTAATGTCTTCAAGGTTCATCCATGTTGTAGCATGTGTCAGAATTTCTTCCCTTTTTAAAGCTGAGTAATATTCCATGGTGTGTGTGTGTACTATACATATACACACACATATACCACATTTTGTTTATCTGTTCTTTCGTTTATGGACACTTGGGTGATTTCACTTTTTTTCCTATTATGAATAATGCTGCTGTGAACACTGATGTACAATGTATTAAATTTTCGCTAGGTAGGTGACAAATAGTATTTCAGTGTAGCTTTATTTTCAACTCTCTAATTATGAATGAGACTGAGCATCTTTTTTTCCTATTTACATTTAGTAAAGTTCACATTTTTGGTGTATTGTACTATGAGATTTGATTTTCCCCCAATTTTTAAGGGTTCTTTAAGTATTGGTGATATTAGCCTTTTATCTGAGATAAATGTTGCAAATATTTTCTTCCAGTTTTTCAATTGTCTTGGCTTAGTTTAGCATATTTGCCATGCAAAAGATTTTTATTTCTATGTGGTCAAATTTATCATTTTTTTCTTTCATTGTATCTAGATTGTGAATAATAGTTAGCAAACCTTTTCCTATACTTAGGGTATAGAGGAATGACCTATATTTTCTCCTAGCTGTTGTATAGTTTCATATTTTATATTTTTATTTCTGATACATTTGGGGTTTATTCTTGTGAATGATATGT